GGAGGGAGGGAGGGAGAGGAGGAGAAAGAGAGAGGGGTTGTGGGGGTGGGTGATGTGAAGAAAACATAGCAAAGATATATTGCTCTTACAAATTTGTATTGCTTCTTTTCACTGTTATTAGTAAGAAAAATATTCTCATCTTTGGAACAGTAGGAAGATGATAATACCCTTAACGTCTCATTTGCTCCTTATTCCTTTACTTATAAAGGAAAACTGTGCGGTCAGTCACAGACTACAGAAATAAAAGGAATGTAATATTGATTAATGTAATTCTTTCCTCTAAAAATACTTTTGATTAAATTGGCAGAAGTAAACGCCATGAAAAGACAAGAAGTGAGAAAGGACTATAAAGGGATTCGGTGTAAAGCTTAATCATGAATATTATTACAGAGTAGAAAGAGTGCTTTTTAAGCCTACAAGAAAATTCTATTAACATTGAAAAAGTTGTTAGGTGTTTTCATCTGCTGATGAGGATAGCGAGTTCTCAATTTCGCTTTGTTTTGTTTTTGTTTTAGTACGAGTATCGGTAGTTTTACGGCAGTTGCAACACAAATAGATGTTTTAAGTGCCGAAAATTAGAGGGGTTATTTAACTAAAGAATAATACACAAGAAAGAAAAGAAAAATTAGAAGTTATAACGGTGAAAGTGGTTTGTTAGGAAAGGAGGAGCGAACCAAACCTCAGCTCTCGCCAACCACTCACTCTGAATTCTGTGAAACGGCATCCCCATGTAGAACATTTTACAGATCCCTTACGTACTTTACTGAACCTTTTACTGGTAGGCCTATTATGTATCCTTGTGGTAAAATGTTTGTTGCACTCGCACGTTATACATAATATAAACAAGAAAGATAAAGCCTGGCATACAAACTGTAACTTGTGAATCAATATACACCACTTTGCTTGCTGAAAGACTCACACAAGTTCCCACATATCTAGTAGCGGTGTCAACGCCATTGCCAGGCACGATTTGAGAGCTCTTGTATAGTAACCTTTGGAACAGTGGACGCCCCTGGCAACCTTTCCTGTTTCTTGTTGACAGGTAGGGAAAAAGGCCACGGCAAGTCTCGTCTGGCGTGTGAAAAAGAGAGAGAGATAGAGATAGAGAGAGAGAGAGAGAGAGA